TTTTGAGACGGAGTCTTGCTCTGTCGCCCAGGCAGGAGTACAGTGGAGTGATCTCTGCTTACTGCAACCTTCGCCTCCCAGGTTCAAGCGATGCTCTTACCTCAGCCTCTTGAGTAGCTGGAATTACAAGCACACGCCACCATGCCCAGCTAATTTTTGTATTTTTAGTAGAGATAGGGTTTCATCATGTTGGTCAGGGTGGTCTTGAACTCCTGACCTCGTGATCCACCTGCCTTGGTCTCCCAAAATACTGGAATTACAGGTGTTAGCGACTGCGCCTGGCCAATTTTAACCATTTTTAAGTGTATAGCTCAGTGGCATTAAACACATGCACATTGTTGTGCAACCATCACCATTGCCCATCTTTAGAACTTTTTCATCACCCCAAACTGAAACACCATACGTAGTAAACACTAACTCCCTATTGGCCACTGTGACAACTGCAGGTTCTTTTCTGAGTTCTGCATATCTATCCTTTAATGATGACTTGATTCTCTTACCACTTTGCTCTATTAGAAATACCCCGAAATTTTCGTTCATAGCTTGCTGTGACATTTGGTATTCACTTGTCAAGAGCTTATCATTTATATATGAAGATTGTCTCTGTTCTTTTTTCTCTTTTCTATTCCTTCCCTCCCTCCCTCCTTCCCTTCCTTCTCTCTCTCTCTCTCTCTCTCTCTCTCTGTTTCTCTCTCTCTCTTTCTTTCTTTTTTGAGACAGGGTCTCATTTTGTTGCCCAGGCTGAAATGCAGTGGCATGATCATGACTCACTGCAGCCTCTGCCTCCCATGCTCAAGCAATTGTCCTGCCTCAGTGACCCTCCACCAGCCAATTAGTTGGCCCTAAGGGATGGCACCTGCTACTGCACCCAGCTATTTTTTTTTTTTTTTTTTGGTAGACATGGGGTTTTGCCATGTTGTTCAGATTGGTCTCAAACTCCTGGGCTGCCTCAGCCTCCCAAAGTGCTGAGATTACAGGAGTGAGTCACTGTACCCAATCTGTTCTTTTTTCTTTGACTTCTATGTTTAAAGTAATTTGTGGGGGCATCCGTCTATGATGACAAATGCAAAAGAGGCTATGGTAGTTTCATGATACAGAATACACTTACATTAACATTTTAAATTAGCATTAAAACAAAATTTGAAAAAAAATTTACAGACTTTATTAAGTCTTGGATTCTCAATGTGAAAAATATGGAGTTAGATTATTCCTTATAGACATGGTATAAGGTCATAAGAGCATATGAGCATTGGCTAATATAGTAGAATTAGAAATAGGAAAGAAAGAATAGTTATGTGAGGGAGCAGAAAGGATGACAGTCTAAGTCCAGATGTCAGGCAAGTGAAGGAGCCAAGGATAACTTCGAAGGTATAGAGCCTGACATACCAAGGGAAAGATTTTATTATTAACAAATGTAGGGTAATTTAGAGGAAAAGGAAATTCCATAAGAAACCATTTGGTGTGATATCAAGCAGCATCTACCTAGCAGGAAGAAGAGATATATGGTTAGAGGTATATTTTAAGAGTTACTGGCATAGAGGGGCTAAGGCTAATCATTTAGTGTTCCTGCAGAATGAAAGAATACACATTTAGTACAGCAGAGGTAAGAGTGTTAGGGTTTTCCTCTAATGTTGGAGACAAGAAACCGACCCAAAATATCAAATGAGAATTGGGATAATATGCCCAAGGATCCAAGGAAGGGATGTTTTAAGCTGGCAGGAAAAGTCAACAGTGTAGAATGTAGCAGAGTGTTTAAAGGAAATGATGGATGACAAAAAATAAGATACCATCTAGTGCAAATATTAACTAATTAACTAAAATTTCTTTTTTTTTTTT